AACATTTTTTTACATAATCTCTCCCTGTATAGATGCATAGATTTATAGCCTGCATGTCAATTTTTGTTGCTTCCTAATTTTATATGTTGATTGCAAGTGCTTCAAAATAGCCAACATAGCTATTAGCTATGACTTCTACTCGTATCTATTAGAAATTTTAAAATAATAAAATATTTGACCAGCTTACCTAAAAAATAGTTAATAACTTTCTTATATGGTATCAAAATTTATATATAATATATCAATTTTTTTTAATTTTTTTTGAAACACTAATTATATTAATAACTGAAAAACTAAAAAGAGTGAAACCTAGGTGTCAACCTATACCAACATAACCAGAAAAGTTGAACCTACCTCGTTGGGACTATATATGTGCCCAAGAGAGTACAAGTTTCATCAAGGAAACAAAAACACCCACGCAACACAACTCCATAAATGAGAAAAGAACTCTACAAAGAAGACTAGACACCTGAAGCCGTTCGACTAAACAAAATAAAAATAAGGGAAGACAAAAACACACATCTAATATGCATAAGTAGAGTTAAACCTCCCATAACCTAGTAGAAGAACCACACAACCACACCTAGACTGACAACTGAGTAGCACCCACATCTAAGAACCCCAAACGAACAATTGAACTAGACCCTACACTCGAAAACTAAGGTCACTCAAACTGTCTAGACGAAATTTTGGTCCAGAACTAGAATCTGCAGAGATCCGGCCTCAGGAAAAAGAAAGGGAGCTATGAAGAAACCGCCAGATGGTACGAGACAAAGATCCAAGACCCCGGGGGAGCAGCCTAGCCGCGTGCCACCATGGTGAGGAACTTACCAGACGCACGCCTCCAAGGTAATGACATGAAGCTCGCTAGACCAGAAAAAATGGCAGGCTCCGACAATTGAGACTAATTTGACATCAAGTTATTCAGTTCTTGATGATTTCGATTTGACATTCACTTTTCATATATATATATATATATATCATTATAAGAACAAATATCAATATTAATAGAATATACTAAAATTATTTCTTAATTAAATTAAGTCATATGTGAAGTCTATCGTACAATATTTTTATTGTTTTTTTGCCAAGAAGCTTATCGTACAATAGGAATTGATAGAATTACTATAATTAATGTAGGAAGGATTTAAGTCCTACAAAAGTAATGAGTATTATTTTAAAATATAAAAATAATAATTTAATTAAAAAATATAAATTTTGACTAAAGTAATATAGACCAGCATTATTTATAAAATAATTCTCATGCAAATCCGAATCCAAGGACTTATCCATGGGCCCTCCCCCTTCAATTTTTCGTGGGCTGCCTTAAATCAGAAATTAAAATGACCGACAATAAACAAACTCAGAAAGTGAAGAAAGAAATGATTAAAAAAAAAAATGCTACTGTCTCATTACGGTACCATCTTGTTTTAACGATTGGATCCACATGTAGCTAGATAAAATAGACACCCGAATAAGATAGATAATTCAATGGTTAAAACATCCGACCAGATGGTATCGTAGCAACGATAAAAAAAAAAAAAATGTGTAACGCAGATAGGGAGAGAGAGAGAGTAGTCATTTGTCATCTCTCACCTCCCATCCCTGTCCACCGAATGAGCCCTCTCCTCTGAAAATCACAAAAATATCTCTATCTGCTTTTTAATTAGGGTTTTTTTCTTGCTGTTTTCTTGTTTTTTTCCCCCCTTTTTTTTTATCACTAAAATATATGGACTTTAGCTTGCTATGAGTCAACGGAGTTTCTTGAATCTGAGGAAAATGTTTCGGGTTTTTTTTATGTTATGTTAGTTCAGGCAGCCGCAGATCTGTGAACGTTTAAGGTACTTTAAATTTCAAAACCCATCTGTTGTTTTAGCTGATAACAATGTCTAATTACTGTTATTATTATTGTTCTCGAAACAGTTCTATGTTCTTGTGAGAATGAATAATGTTGTCTTTCCCTTTTATCTGCAACATTTTTTTATTTATTTTTTTTAAGTTTTGTTTATTGAAGGTAATGTTGATTTGTAGGTTAAAATTTCAGCTCTTGTCTGCAAATTATTAGATCCTTGTTTTATTTATTTATTTATTTTTTGCTCGAAAGTTCATAAGAATGAAAAATCTTTTTAATTTTTTCCCCTTTTGCGGGGAGGTAAATTGGAGTTTTTTTTTTAATTTATTTATTTATTTATTTTTTTATGTGGTTAATTGGCTGATGAAGTCTTGTTTGGTTTTTGCTGAAAAATGACTGCTTACGCACACCAACAATGGTGGATTGATTTTTGCTTTATATATATTATCATCTCTGATTATCATTGGCAGGTTAGATACACAAACATTCGATTTTGCTTCGTAAACCTCGTGCCAAGTGTAGATTTGCACCACATATGCTGCAAATTGCAATCTTGTTTCATCGAAGTTTTTTTCTTTCCTGAGGAAATGAGCCCGTTTGGCCGCCTAATCTCGAGTACATTAATTTGAGAGTCGATTCATCAAAAAGCAATAATGAGCTCCTTCCGCCAGAACTGCGAAATAACCGAGGTGAAGGATGAAAAACCTCCGATTCCAAGAAAGGTGCCCAGAAAAGCTCTGGAGGATGATATAAACAAGCTTTTCGAGTCGGTCAATATTAGGTTAACCAAGAGCTTTGACCTCTCGGATTCGAATCGAAACCCTTCTAAGAAGCCGATGAGGGGCAACAATGGCATGAACTCGCCGGGAATCGGGTTTTCCGAGGCTGTCTCGCTAAAACAGGCGCTTAGAGGCCTCTGCATATCTCAGGCGGCTGAGATGGCTGCCTTAAAGCGTTCGTCCATGCCGTCATCTCCGAGAATCTCGGAAGCTGGAAAAATCGGTAATTTTTATAAATTAGGTGAAAATGGTGAACCGGGATGTTCCCCACTTGCAGGCCGGGAAAGGAAAATCGGGATTTCTATAGGTGTGCAAGAAAGTAGGTTGAATTCAAATTCGAATTCCCCACGCATGGTGAAATCAGCTACCCAAAGCTACAATGCTTCTCCTCGTTTGGAAGTGGAAAAGAATTTGGAAAAAGTTGAAAATAATTGTAGAGAATCGAGTGGTCCGCTGGCTGAATGTTGTACTAGTGTTCAAAAAGCTAATACAAAGAGTGAAGAGTCGCCGCCTATTGTGAATAAAGAGATTGTAAACGAGCCGGAGATTGATGTAAATGTAGTGGGAAAAAATGGTTTAGGGAAAAAAGATAATAGTTTTTCCTATCAAGAAAAGAAAATTCTTAGTTTGAGTAAGAAACCTTCAATTTCTTCGAAATCGAGACAAAAATCGCAGTCTTCATCATCCAGCGTGGCGAAATTCAAGAAAGACTCGAAGAGTGCTGGTGGGAGCTCGACACGTTCAGTCAAACCAATAATCATAACCAAGAGTCTTGTCATAAAGAAGCCGAAGAAGGCCAATCTGAAAGCAACTCACCGGGTAAATAGTGCTAATGAAGAAGAAAATTCTGGAGCTTTGATCTGCCACAGGTGTCAGTGTGCGTTGAGCCACATGGATGATGAAGATTCACAAATTACAAATAATCCAAAAAAAGTAGCTGAAAAAAGGGAAATCTCAAAGAGCTCGAAAAGCAGCGCGTGCGATTTTTTCAGCACAAGTACCACCACTAGCAATCTGAGTGACGATAGCAATCTGAGTGGGCCGGCGTGTGGTAATAATAGGCCCCACATGTCGAGGGATATGAGGTGGGGAGCAATAAACCGTGTGAGGAAAGAGAAAGGATTTCTGAATCTGAGCCATTTTAATTTGTTAAAGAAACTTGGTTCGGGGGATATTGGGACGGTTTATCTTGCTGAGCTGGCGGGGACTGGCTGCCCGTTCGCGATAAAGGTGATGGATAACGAGTTCCTTGCGAGAAGGAAAAAAATGCCGAGGGCACAAACCGAGAGGGAGATTCTTGGAATGCTGGACCACCCGTTTTTACCGACCCTTTATGCTCAGTTCACATCGGATAATTTGTCGTGTCTCGTTATGGAGTTCTGTCCAGGTGGCGATTTGCACGTGCTTCGCCAGAAGCAGCCCGGGCGGTGTTTCACTGAAGATGCTGCAAGGTATATATAGTATTTTTAAGATTGTACTATTTTTTTTTTCTTTAATGGTTTGATAATGTGTGCAGTAAAAATGTGTTGTGGTGACAGCACAAAACAAAATTTACTTTAGCTTGGGAAAAAATGTGGAAAGCTTATGTGCATTTTTTCTGGGCCAAAGTTTACCCGATTTGAAATTCTTGATTCAAATAGACCCGCTCAAAACGGGTTTTATTTGTTAGCCATGGTTAATTTTGAAAAATGTGGTATAGTTAGTCGTTAGTGGGATCTTGAGTTTATATTAACAAAATATGTAAAATAAAATAATTAAAATTGATTTGATGTAAAAGTAAGAGATAGATGATGTGAAATAATTGTTAGTTAAAATTATGTGAGTGGATGAATAATAAATTAAAGTTTATGTAATATGTAAGAATGATTGATTGATATTATTTAAATATACTGATAATATTATTGAGAATAGTGAGGTTGTGTTAAAGTTGAGTTAAAAAAAGTGATTGGTTAAAAATGATTTAATTTTTTTGAAAAAACTTGTATCCAACAAATTTTGCAAATTAGTACTATATGTTCCATCTGCTAACATTTTTTCGACCCCAATCCAGATTCTACATGGCCGAAGTTCTCGTGGCACTTGAGTACCTCCACATGCTCGGGATCGTTTACCGTGACCTCAAGCCCGAAAACATCCTCGTCCGTGAAGACGGCCACATAATGTTGACCGACTTTGACCTTTCCTTACGCTGCCCTGTCACCCCAACTCTTGTCCCTTCCTCCTCCCCGCCTCCCGACCCTCACAGGCCCTCGGGCCAATGCGCGGGCTCCAGCTGCATCGACCCATTCTGCTCCGGGCCCGCTTGCCGGGTCTCGTGCTTTGGCCCGCGGGCCAGGCGGCCGAGGCCCGAATC